AAATTACAGGGTGATTCAAATGGCGCAGTTTTAGTTAAAGTAGAATCTTAGACATCCTCCCCGGTTGGAACGCTAGTTTCAATAACATTCTCCATAAGAACGCACAGCTTTTGCACGACCCTGGTGCAAGACCCATGCGCGGTTGCAAGTGTTACATTTCGTACGGCTCCGTCGGTGCCCTGGTGTAGCTCAGTAACGCGTCCCAGCCTCCAATGCGTAGGTGGTAGATATTTTTGGCGTACTACCACGATGTCACCCACCTTTATGTTAGGAACACGTCGTTGCCACTTGGTCCTAGTCTGGTGCATCTGCCGTAACCACTGCCAATGCTTCACTCGATTGGCAGGAATCTCCGAAACGTCTGGCTCTGGGACGGCTATTATCGGAGACCCTATTAAAAAATCTGCGGGTGTTAGTGCATACCTGTCTTCAGGGTCATCGTGCAATGGTACGAGTGGCCGAGAATTCAAACAAGCGAACTAGGTGCCGCTTTGCAGATTTTACCGCTGCTTCCCACAACCCCCCTTGGTGGGGAGCGCTCGGAGTGATGAAGTGCCATCGGGTCCCCAAGTCAGCGATTGACTGGATATTCTGATCGTGGTACCAGGCAGCCAAGTCTTCCTTCAGAACGCGGTTAGCTCCTACGAACGCAGTACCGTTGTCGCTATACAAGTGCCTGCAGGGACCTCGCCGGCTAATAAACCGAGTAAACACGTCTAAAAAAGCCTGTGTAGAGAGGTCATAAGCCACCTCAATGTGGACAGCTTTCGTCGCCATACAAATAAAAATAGCTAAGTATGTTTTTACCGTAGTCCGCGATCTTTTGGATCCAATACGCAAGTTGAACGGACCGCAGTAATCCACTCCGGATGCGATGAAGGGACGAGCCGCATAGACACGATGTCGAGGCAAAGAAACCATTTGTTGCGTTAAGACAGCACCTCGGTTCCGACGACAAACCACACATTTGAGAATCAGGCTACGCACTGCTACTCTCCCGTGTATAATCCAAAAGCGACAGCGAACAGTTTGAAGAGTCAGCTGGGTTCCGCCATGAAGAGTGTCTATATGTGCCTGTCTAACGAGCAGCCGTACTAGTCCTGTCGACTTCGGAAGAATGATTGGGTGCCTATGGGCCTCTATTAACGCAGATTTAGTAATGCGACCTCCAACCCGTAATAAGCCATGATCATCCAGATAAGGGTTTAACGGAAGTAGACTACTCGAAGCTGCTAACGCCAACCCACCCTGCAGATACCTAATGTCCTTCAGAAAAGCATTCCCTTGATCGATCCTCACAAGCCACTCTAACGCCTCATCGATCTCCTGTGCGTCAATTGTGGGATGCCGAAATCCACGGCGTCTCGGAAGCCACCTCAGTATTAAAGCCACGGTATGCAGAAGTTTCTTCAGCGAGCTGAATCTATCCGTAAGCGGAATAATTTCTCCATCTAAACGTCGCGTTGTCAAAGTTGTATGGGTGGCTCTGATGGTTAAACACTGTACCCTCCTTTCACTATTTATTATAGCTTCATCGTCATTATGTAGTTTAGGTTCCAAAGGGGGTCCTACCTGATCGTCGCGTAGCCAGCTGGGATCACTCCACCATAAATGGTGCTTTAAAAGTTCTGAAGCCGGTACACCCCGATTGGCACAGTCGGCTGGATTTTGCGATGAACGTACATAATTCCATTCATCCTTCAAAGTCAGCTCTTGTATCTGCCGAGCTCTGTTGGATACATATGGTTTCAGCGTGTCTGGGTGCTTTCGCAGCCAACAGAGGGTGATACTCGAGTCAGACCACAAATAGGCAACATGGTTGACCAATCCTAATGCCTCTCTGACGTTTCGAAGGGTTTCGGATAATAGGAGTGCTCCGCACAGCTCCAAACGAGGTATTGTGGCTCCCTTTAGAGGTGCTACCTTAGTCCTTGCAGTTATTAAAGCCACGTGAACGTTTCCCTGGAGATTGGTTGTCTTAGCGTACATCACAGCAGCATATGCCCTTTGGCTGGCATCACAAAAATCATAGAGCGTGGTGGTCGACTCCTCGTTCATTCTAAGCCAACGAGGTATACGCAACATATTGAGAGCATTGAGGTCATTGCGAAATTTAAACCAAGCTTCCCGCAATTCAGTTGTCAGGGGAGTATCCCAACCAATACCTGCGGACTAAAGAGTTTGAATAAATATCTTACCGACAACCACGACCGGTGACAAGAATCCCGTTGGGTCAAACAGCTTCGCCACCTCGCTGAGCACACTGCGCTTGGTGCATATACTGCCAGGCTGCTTAAGTTCCACATTGAATAGCAAGTTGTCGTCGACCGGACTCCAGCGCAGACCCAAAACTGAGGTCGGGGCAGCATCAATACTGCACTCTGTAGGCGATGAGTCTCTCCCCATCTGCATTAAGACAGTGGTGCTATTTGAATTCCACTTCCGCAGCTTAAAACATCCAGCTGTCAATATGTTATCGATATTGGATGCCAAAGTGATAGCCCTTTCGACGGTGCTGCAACTGAGAAGAAAATCATCCACGTAGAATGACGAGAGAATGGTGTCCCGCGCTATAATGCCCATATTGCGATCGTGAATCTTGTCGAAATTGTCGGTAAGTAATTACTTCCTCTGAAGGCGATTCACGCCAAAGTATGCGCTGAAAGTCTCTATCTTGCGGTGCCACGAGTACTTGGCGAAACATTTTCTCCACATCGGCGGTGATAGCGACGGCATAACGTCGAAAACGGAGTATAATGTTAATTAACGAATCTTGAATGGGAGATCCAACGAGCTGTAAATCGTTGAGTGAGAGCCCGTTCGAAGTAGGAGCGGACGCGTTAAATACTACACGGAATTTTCCCACCACAGCATGGTGCGGAATATAATAGCATCCTGGCTGAACGATTGGCTCAACAACTCTCTCCATGTGGCCAAGGGTCTCATATTCCCTCATAAATGCTACATATTTTGCATGCACGTCCGGATCAGCATCCAGACGTCGTTCCAAATGTGATAACTGGCGCCGGGCGCTGACGTAAGAGTCACCTAATGGTTTACAGTCTTGGCGGAAGCGCAACCTCACAATGTAGCGTCCCTCTGCCGTACGGCGGTGGGTAGTGGTAAAGAACCGCTCGCATTCATCATCCAAGCACTCGGATGTAACCGGTACTTCTTCAAGCTTCCAGAAATTGCTGATAAGATCCTCTAAATAAGGTTCGTCTCTTATCTGCGCGCAATAAATTCCAACTGTTGCATTCGAAGTGCTCTGAACTGATGCTGGTCCGAATACAACCCAACCACGTCGGGTAAGTTGTGCATGAGGCTCGTCACACCCACCGTGTATGACATCTTTCTCAACGATCGAACCCCAGACATCAACACCAAGAAGTACATCAACAGTACCCGGGGTACCGAAATAAGGGTCTGCCAATTGAAGATTTGTCAAATGTCCCCATTGCCCAATATCGACGCTAACCGCGGGGGTAACTGAAGTAATCGAACCAATGACCAATGCGTGAATGTCAAGCTCAAACTGAGAAAATATGATTTTTATTGTAAAGCGGACGCTACCCTTGGTCCTCGTACACGCAACTCCGCCAATGCCCTCCACCATGATCTCACACTTGCTCCTATAAAGACCCAAACTATTAGCCAAACTTTCCGAAATTAAACTTACTTGAGAACCAGGGTCGCATAATATACGGGATGTTTGCTGCTTGTGACCCTGGCCGAAGACGTGGGCTCGCGCTGTAACCAGCAGAACGGTCTGACTTCCTTTGCCGACGTTGGTAACGGTTGTATTGCTTGCTAGTCATAATGATGGTGGGACTGGATTGGCTATACTGCCGGGCTTAACCACAGGAGTATCTACCCCGTCAGATGAAGTAGGTGGCTGTGATTTGTGGCGGCAAAAAATCATATGATGTCTGTGGCCGCACTGGCGGCAGTTGCCGGAGGAGCATAGTTTGGATGGGTGTCCGGATCGCAAACATTTAAAGCACAAATTCGATCGCTTTAGAGCTTCAAAGCGTTGATCCGGCTTCATAGCCAGAATGGCCGGACAACGCATAACCTTGTGTGCTCCTTGACAGTGCTGACATTTGCCATCGCCAGTCGAGGCGAGGTTTGACTTTAGCGAGCGGGGAGTGTTCTTCTGCTTTGAGGAAGAATACGGCCCTTCAGGACGATCCACTACCTGACAAAATTCGGTCGAGAGACTATGTGCTCGTTTTTCTAAAAACGCTAGCAAGGCACTTAAAGTTGATAGCTCGGTGGGAGAGCAATGCATACACCATTCTCGCTGGGTTCTAGCGGAGAGTTTAGAAACAACAATGGGTACGTTAAGGGCATCCCACTTGTCGACAGGTAACTTCATTACCGTTAACGCTCGTTTACCACATCAACGACGCCCAATAATTCCTTGGACGTATCCTCAGCCATTGACTTCATGTTCAAAAATCTAGCAACGTGAATCTCCGCTAATTGTTTAGGGTTGTCATACCGATCTTTCAGCGCCTTCCACACTTCCTCGTATCCACCTGAATACAACCCTCCTACTAACGGAACCGACTCTGCCTTAACAGCTTGGCGTAGTTTCTCTAGCTTGTAAGCCACCAGCAAATCCCGATTATGTACCAACGTCTCAAACGAATCCTTGAATGCAAGCCACTTGTGGGGGCAGCCGTCAAATGATGGTATACAAAGTGGCTCTAATTTTAATTCCATCGGCGAAGCCTTGTGGCAAGCGTTGGTTGACAACTGAGATTGACCCTCAAATCCCTTTCGAAGTTGATGCAGCGTTGCGCACAAGGCTTCGCCGATGGAACTAAAATTAGAGCCACTTTGTATACCATCATTTGACGGCTGATGGCACTTCATCACTCCGAGCGCTCCCCACCAAGGGGGGTTGTGGGAAGCAGCGGTAAAATCTGCAAAGCGGCACTTAGTTCGCGTAGTGGGCACGCAAGCCTTGTGGTACTCCCAGCTACAAACATTGGCGACTCGCATCGAGGCTTGTTTGAATTCTCGGCCACTCGTACCATTGCACGATGACCCTGAAGACAGGTATGCACTAACTCCCGCAGATTTTAAGCGTTGATCAATTTGGGTGACGTTGAGCTCACCAGGCTTTGCCTCCTTTATTTGCACATACATCCGCAAAATAGCGGCCGCATGGAACTTTCGAAGATTTATTTCTGTCATGTTCCGAGATCAAAGAAAATATCCACAATTATCCACGAAATCAGGCCCAATCCAAACCAAAGTACTTGTGCGTCTAAAAGTGCTAATTGAGCTGGAGTTATATTGCGTTTATTAAGAGACCTCACAGGAGGCACAAAATGTTTAATAAAAAACGTGAGCTCAGCTTAATCGCATATCCAATTTATTAAAAGTCCAAGTTGAGAAGAAGGAAAGAAAAGGTAATGACAGATCAATTTAGAATAGAAGGAATAGACGAAGCAAATATTAAATTACAGGGTGATTCAAATGGCGCAGTTTTAGTTAAAGTAGAATCTTAGACAGTCATAGAGGAGATAAAGAACAGAAAGAACAGTGAAAACAAAGCAA